CTGTTGAGTTTTAGGATATGCTGTGGGCACCAGACACAGGATTGTTTTAGTCTTCCTCAAAATTTGCTCTGTCCAGAGGAAAGCAAGCACCCATGAGCTTTCCAGTAGGCCTGCTGGTGTCTCCTCCACAGTTGTCTGAGGAGACCCTACTTAGAAGAACAAGGCTGCCCTTCAGGGCACCCTCAGTGCCACTGGTTTGGTTCATTGCCTTGATATTTCAAAAATTTTGTGAAAAGCAAGCCTTTCGCCAAATGCCAGGCAAAGTAGGACTTCTTTGCATTCAACTCAAGTTCCTTTCACTTAAATTCCTTTGGTCACCATATCAGGATAGTCACCTTTTGGTGAACATGTCCTCAAGTTGCAAAGTAGTATGGATTCCAGCTCTGTGCTTTCTAGCATCATTGTAATCTTCATTCTAAGTAATTTCCAGTGCTAATAATTCAGCTGTTTTTAAGTTTTCATTTAATTCTGAATATTTTTTTAGGTGATAAATTATATCAAGAGTCAGAGATATAGCTCAGTGGCACAGTGCCTGGCTGGGTGTAATTCTTGGTACAAAAAAAAAAAAAAAAAAAAACAGGTACTTTGAACACAAAGCTATGAGGCAAATTAAGCTTCTAAGTCTTTGAAGTCAACTAAATGTGTGTAGCGCAGAGTTGTAGGAGCTGCTCTTCCTCAAAGAAGTTCAGTATGAACTCTTTTAAGTCCACTTAAGCCCTCACTTACAGGTACAAGAGAATTAAATCTTCTGCCTTAAATAATTTGACCGTGTATTGAAATACTTTAGGTTATAACCATATTCTTCCTCTAAATGAACCTAGTTATTTTAAAAGTCAAAGAAATATGAGGCACTTAAAAACGAATCATTCATACCACTTCCTATATTTCATTTTAAATAAATTAATGTTCATTTGCTAAGTGGTCATTCTGCCTGATCAACAGGGGATGTGTCGCAGACAGCACCATACAGATGTTGGCAGGAGGCCTCTGGAATGCTTAAACTTAAAAAAGTACATTACCAAGGACCTGGAAAGAATCTCAAACTCCAAGGCCAAAGAATTTATTGCATAGTAATCTTCTTTATCAAAAAAGTTGACTGAGGCACTAAGGACAAAAATCAGCCTATTATGCAACAGCAGGACACAAGGCTGGGGAAGCTCCATGGCAAGGAGAAAGGATGCTACTCTGCTCTCCAGGGAGGGAGAAATCTGGCCAGCCCCGGTCAGCCCTGAAACCCTAACGTAGGCATTTCAACCTTAGGAACACACATTTTTCCCATGTGTAGAAGGAAGTATTGATGTGCATTTTTTTTGAGTCTTTCCAAGGCAAACAGAAACTCAGAACAGTTTTATAACTTAACCAAGGTGACAGAGTCCAGAGAAAGAGTTAGAAAAACTTCTTAAAACTTAGGACTGGAGTTCTACCTCCCAAGGGAACTTATTTCTTTTAAGTAAAAGCATGCATCCAGATTCACCCAGCTGTTACCCTGGAAAGAGTAAATAGGTTCCAACTCACACAAAGCCTGATCTTCTATTGTTCAAAACTTCCATATGCAATTAGAAATCTGGTGATAATGTTTGTTTTCACCATCTCATGTATCAGCTACCTAACTCTCACAGCTCCTCCTTCACGTAGCTTCTCGAGGTTAACATTCTGAGTATATGAGGGAGGTTTGAACAAGACTATTTAAAATGAGATGTCCACTGGGAATGAAGGGAACCTACGATTTCATACTACCCTCAATTTTTCCTGACATGCATTTCTAAATTCTCTGACGGCCCTTACAGTCACCGCTAGAACACAAGTGCATTCCTTTCTGCACACGCTCTGCAGTGGTCTCGGTCTCCAGAGCACGCACTGTGAGACTGGGTCAAGAGTTCTCCTGAGAGGATGGGTGAAGGCTGTGACGGGCTAGTGCGCATGGGAAGAGGCTGCTTTGCATTGCTCGGGAATTTCTGACTCTTTAAAGCATCGTACAATGAATGCACAGCCATACCATCTCTAGAGTTAACGTAAGACACAATACAATTCATTCTTCAGGCATTTAAAGATTATGTGGATTCACTTACTGTACTGTATGCTTAACATGCTACAATGTAACTTATGTATATGCAGTTTACTATGTTTTAAGAATTCACCAAGCTATGACATATGAGATATATGCAATAAAATCTAAACCAAACATTTAAGCCCTTAAGGGGAAAAAAACCCTGACAGTATGCAAGGTTGGAATAATAAGCTCTATCATTTCCAAAAGATTGCTCAGTTAGATCATTATACACAGAGAACTTAGTCTATGTTTACAATTAATCATTATAGACCATTTTGATATATTAAGCTACAAAGGGTTTCTTTGGTATAAATTTACAAGGGTTTTAGATTGGGAATATAATTCAGGGTTGAAGCGTTTGCTGTGTGTGAGGTCCTAGGCTCATTCTCTAGCACCACCAATGAAATAAAATAAAATATTCTAGAATATCCAAGCTGTAAAACTTTGAGGAAAACATCAGTTCCAGGGCATACTACAAAAGTTGAGTACAGGAGTTATTCAAAACATCAGGGCTTTCTCTCCTAGCATTTTATAAATAACCATTAAGCTTCCTTAATTACTGTCACATTTTCTTTTTCTTTTCTTTTTTTTTTTTTCCTGAGCAAATCAATTTTTGAAACTGAGTAGGACCTGTAGCCCTTCTCTTTCTCTCCCTGGCAAGATATTAGGGATCACTTCCCATTTAAGAAGAAAACAATCTTCATGGATAATACTGATAGCATGGAATGCAAAAACAACCAAAATATGTATCCTCAGACGACTGCACTAGGGCCAAATCAGTATCGGGCCCACTTCACCCACACACCACAGAGTCTAAAAATGTTTTCAGCCTGATAAAAAATTTCCTGATTTACCCTTTCCTCCAATAGAAAACATAGTTCATCAAAATAAACTCCTGGCAGTAAAGGAATGGTAGTCACACTGTGCATATTGTCAAATCTTTCTTTTACTAGCCAGTAATTGTCACATCATATCATTTGATTAAAAAAAAATCAGAAAAATCTCAGACAAGCCATTTTAATAAAAGGCACATGAGAAGTTCCAGTTATCTCTTAACTAAATTCTTATGGTCGACTCGGCCAAAGCAATGTCCACAGAAGTGCAAAATACACCAGAAGTTGCTTATTGTGGTAATCCATTAGCATAGACCAATGAAGATTTTTTAAAATAAATATCTAATTCTACATTTTGTTGATAGTTTTAGCAAAAGGACAGAATTTGGGAGCTGAGACTCAGGGAAATTGTCAAATAAAGATCAAGGTATTTGGAGTCATTTCTTAATAAAATCCAACTTTTATCACTGCTGATATGCACTTTTTCTAACTTTTAGTTTCTGGCCCATTAAAAGTAGTACAATGCTGCTCTCCACTGTAGACTCATGTTTCAATGGAATTAACTTTACAACTCCTAAAATTAAAAGAAAATCCTTACTTGTAACTACTCTTACTAATCCCTTCATCTTTTACGAAGGGAAAAGTATCTTTCTGGATATTTAGTAAAGATCGAATCTGCTGCTCATCCACCTTTCAACTGATAACTGAAGGCCTCCAGTCCCGGAGGCGGAGGCAGGCATTCTGCATCAGGGCCAAGTACGAACCACATCAATAGTCTGCATGGTTTTCTTCGTTACTTATGTTTTGCATACTCAGGACAAAAACCAACAGCTCAACCGAAATGTTTTCATCTGTCACCTTTGACCACAAGTTACAACATGTTCTCCTGTCCTCCTCCTCCAAAAAGCAATGAGAAGTTGCTGAATGTTAGAGTAGATAAGTAAGTAATAACGCAAAATGTGGCTCGTTCTTCTTTTGCCCTAACTGGACTCAGTGTAGTTGGTCCCGTTCAGCAGCTGAATCTGGTGTGCATGCCACTGCAGATCAAATGAACTTCACAGCCCCTAACTTTTAAACAGGAAGTCATGATTCTTTCCAAAGAGTACCACTATGGAAGTGAAGGCCACAGTGAAACGAGAAACAAGGACATAAGCTCTGTGGAGGGTAACTTATTAACTCGATCTAGTCCTATATTTAAGTCTCATGCAATCAATCCACCCTAATATAATCCTCATAGTCTGAAAAGGACCCCATTTGGGTCCAGTCGTTTGCCACACGCATACAACAGACTTGTTACTGTAATGCTAAGGAAATCTGCAGGCACTTCCTGCTGTGCTGAGGGAGTGATACCCAAGAACAACTAGTACCAAGTTCCCCGGAGTTCAACCCTCTCTTCTGACCTGTGTTATCTCCTAGTTCCCAGCCACACACTATCGACAAGGTTTCAGTCTCTTGTCATGGCGGCCCCCAAGTCCAGAAACTCCAGGCTGGGGAACAGGAGGTCAACAGCCTGAACATTTCCTATAATAAGGTCTGTTCTTTGATTGGCTTCGAACATAAAGGAAGAACCCTGGCATCCTTGCCCTTAAATCACAGTTACAGGGAGAGAAGTTACAGAGAAGTTCCAGAAATATTCCAAACATGTTTCATTAGACCACTGTCCCAGCTGACAAGTCCCAGAGACGTCATTTCGTGGGCTCACTGAGCAGACAGCCTCTGCTACCTGGGTGGCACGGTCTCCGCTCAATTCAGAAAACCCCGAAACCTCACTTGGGGTAAAGGAAGTTTACTCACATAGTCCTCAGTCAGAGGCGCTTGGAGAGCTTCAGAGAGCTAAGCCCTACGAGGCGGCCAGGGTGTGCGCGAGGGGCGGCCTCTGAGCGCGGGGGCAGCAGCTCGCTGAAGCCCCCTGGCAGGTAAAGCCCCCCATGCGCGCCCCGCACGCGCCCGCCGCGCTGCCTGCCCGGCCGCTGCTCCTCGCCCCGCCGGCCGGGAGCTCTCGGGCGCTCCCTCAGGTCCGGAGCATCCCGTCCTGCCACCGCGTCGCGGAGCCCCAGACCGATACTCGCGGTGCCCCTCGCCCCCGCCCCCGGCAGGCTGCCCGGCCGGTGACTCACCTGCTGGCCAGGTTGGGGCGCCGGATGATAGCAGGCTGTGGGGCAGGGTGCAGCCGCCACGGGGTTGGGCGCACACTGGGGCGCTCCATGCGGCGGGGGGTGATGCATCACCTCCGCACAACTCATGGCAGCAGGGGCAGCGGCGGCCCCCGCGTCGCCGTCGCCGCCGCCGCTCTTCCTGGCGCGAGGGAGCCCCCCGCCGCCGCCTCCTCG